TAAGGGACCCTCATGAAACCTTTTCGCCTCCTCTTCTTCTCCCCCCCGCCCGGTCCGAGACGCCTCGTTCTGTTCTGAGCTCCCCCTTTCTCCTTCCTGCTGCTCAGCTGCCTGTTGCCTATGGCTCTCCCTCCTCTCCTGCCTGACTGGCACCGGGGCAGGACAACGTGGTCGGAGAGCCTCAAGAGCGCATGGCAGCAGTCGATGGTCATCGTGCAGAGGACTGTGCAGCGAGCAGTCGACTTGGATTATAGCAAGAGGTAACGGGAGAAGGGGCGGGAAGGAGGAGGAGAGGAGAGGAGAGGAGAAAGATGAAAGAGAGGAGGAGAGGAGAAAGATGGAAGGAGGAAGAGGTCAGGACAAACCATATTGGAGAGAGGAGGGAAAGGATGAGAAGGAGGCTAATGAAATGAGAGTATGATTTGGAGAGTAATGGAGGGAAAATTCGGCGGGGATAAGAAAGCGGAAGGGAAGAGCGAGTCAAAGTTTGAAGAGGATTAGGAGTGGGTGTGATCAAACGGTAGAGAAAGAAGGGGAACGTGCGGGAGGTGCGGGAAGGAGGGAGCGATCAGGGTTTGGTAGGAGGAGAGTGGGAGGGCGCAGTGCAGTCTCTGTGGATCTGAAAGCACAACAGGTTCATTCAAAACATGGCAAGAGCGCATGATAGAGTTTACAATCAAGTAAGAAGATATTCCCGTCTACTCCCTTCTCCTCAATCTTCATCCTCGGCCCCGTAAACCCTCCAACTTCTCTGCCTGTTCGCTCCCCTCCATCTAGATTGCCCCTCCGATTCCCCTCCCTTCTCTTCCTTTCTCTGCCCCTTCCTGTTACTGTTGCTGCTGTTACTGTTGCTGCTGTTGCTGTTGCTGTTGCTGTTGCTGCTGCTGCTCTTCCCTTCTCCCTTCCCTTTCTCCTCCTCTTTTCTTCATCGTCCAGTCACGTCTCAACGCCAACAGGCCTGCAGCCAAGTGGATCGCGTGCGGAAACATATCCTTGAGATGCAGGAAAAGCGCAAGTAGAGTTGCGGCAATAAACCGATGCTTCGGAGGGCGGGGAGACTGTGTGTTGGGAATGAGGAGGGGAACCAGGGGAGGCGTTACGTGGAAGGGATGGAAGGCAGAAAGTATGAGAGGGAAGGGAGGGAGCGAGGGAGGGAGGGAGGGAGTGAGTGGGGGGAGAGGGTGGGAGGGAGGGAGGGAGGCGAGGAGGGGATGTGGGGAGGGAGGGAGAGAGGAGTGATGGGGGGAGGGAGCGAGGGAGCGAGGGAGCGA